ATAAAGCACTATTTGAGCAATAGTGAAAATCAGACCTGAAAAAAATTTCAGGCCTGTACGGGATTCGAACCACTGACCTCTGCGATACTAGTGCAGCGCTCTACCAATTGAGCTAACAAGCCAACTGGGAGCAGGCCATCAAATTAATTCGATATAAACCCGTAGATGATAAATCAAACAACAACAAACATATGAAACATATGTGTGAACTGCGGTTATGAGACGTATATGAGAACGATCCTTCGCAGTAAAGCACTATTTGAGCAATAGTGAAAATCAGACCTGAAAAAAATTTCAGGCCTGTACGGGATTCGAACCACTGACCTCTGCGATACTAGTGCAGCGCTCTACCAATTGAGCTAACAAGCCAACTGGGAGCAGGCCATCAAATTAATTCGATATAAACCCGTAGATGATAAATCAAACAACAACAAACATATGAAACATATGTGTGAACTGCGGTTATGAGACGTATATGAGAACGATCCTTCGCAGTAAAGCACTATTTGAGCAATAGTGAAAATCAGACCTGAAAAAAATTTCAGGCCTGTACGGGATTCGAACCACTGACCTCTGCGATACTAGTGCAGCGCTCTACCAATTGAGCTAACAAGCCAACTGGGAGCAGGCCATCAAATTAATTCGATATAAACCCGTAGATGATAAATCAAACAACAACAAACATATGAAACATATGTGTGAACTGCGGTTATGAGACGTATATGAGAACGATCCTTCGCAGTAAAGCACTATTTGAGCAATAGTGAAAATCAGACCTGAAAAAAATTTCAGGCCTGTACGGGATTCGAACCACTGACCTCTGCGATACTAGTGCAGCGCTCTACCAATTGAGCTAACAAGCCAACTGGGAGCAGGCCATCAAATTAATTCGATATAAACCCGTAGATGATAAATCAAACAACAACAAACATATGAAACATATGTGTGAACTGCGGTTATGAGACGTATATGAGAACGATCCTTCGCAGTAAAGCACTATTTGAGCAATAGTGAAAATCAGACCTGAAAAAAATTTCAGGCCTGTACGGGATTCGAACCACTGACCTCTGCGATACTAGTGCAGCGCTCTACCAATTGAGCTAACAAGCCAACTGGGAGCAGGCCATCAAATTAATTCGATATAAACCCGTAGATGATAAATCAAACAACAACAAACATATGAAACATATGTGTGAACTGCGGTTATGAGACGTATATGAGAACGATCCTTCGCAGTAAAGCACTATTTGAGCAATAGTGAAAATCAGACCTGAAAAAAATTTCAGGCCTGTACGGGATTCGAACCACTGACCTCTGCGATACTAGTGCAGCGCTCTACCAATTGAGCTAACAAGCCAACTGGGAGCAGGCCATCAAATTAATTCGATATAAACCCGTAGATGATAAATCAAACAACAACAAACATATGAAACATATGTGTGAACTGCGGTTATGAGACGTATATGAGAACGATCCTTCGCAGTAAAGCACTATTTGAGCAATAGTGAAAATCAGACCTGAAAAAAATTTCAGGCCTGTACGGGATTCGAACCACTGACCTCTGCGATACTAGTGCAGCGCTCTACCAATTGAGCTAACAAGCCAACTGGGAGCAGGCCATCAAATTAATTCGATATAAACCCGTAGATGATAAATCAAACAACAACAAACATATGAAACATATGTGTGAACTGCGGTTATGAGACGTATATGAGAACGATCCTTCGCAGTAAAGCACTATTTGAGCAATAGTGAAAATCAGACCTGAAAAAAATTTCAGGCCTGTACGGGATTCGAACCACTGACCTCTGCGATACTAGTGCAGCGCTCTACCAATTGAGCTAACAAGCCAACTGGGAGCAGGCCATCAAATTAATTCGATATAAACCCGTAGATGATAAATCAAACAACAACAAACATATGAAACATATGTGTGAACTGCGGTTATGAGACGTATATGAGAACGATCCTTCGCAGTAAAGCACTATTTGAGCAATAGTGAAAATCAGACCTGAAAAAAATTTCAGGCCTGTACGGGATTCGAACCACTGACCTCTGCGATACTAGTGCAGCGCTCTACCAATTGAGCTAACAAGCCAACTGGGAGCAGGCCATCAAATTAATTCGATATAAACCCGTAGATGATAAATCAAACAACAACAAACATATGAAACATATGTGTGAACTGCGGTTATGAGACGTATATGAGAACGATCCTTCGCAGTAAAGCACTATTTGAGCAATAGTGAAAATCAGACCTGAAAAAAATTTCAGGCCTGTACGGGATTCGAACCACTGACCTCTGCGATACTAGTGCAGCGCTCTACCAATTGAGCTAACAAGCCAACTGGGAGCAGGCCATCAAATTAATTCGATATAAACCCGTAGATGATAAATCAAACAACAACAAACATATGAAACATATGTGTGAACTGCGGTTATGAGACGTATATGAGAACGATCCTTCGCAGTAAAGCACTATTTGAGCAATAGTGAAAATCAGACCTGAAAAAAATTTCAGGCCTGTACGGGATTCGAACCACTGACCTCTGCGATACTAGTGCAGCGCTCTACCAATTGAGCTAACAAGCCAACTGGGAGCAGGCCATCAAATTAATTCGATATAAACCCGTAGATGATAAATCAAACAACAACAAACATATGAAACATATGTGTGAACTGCGGTTATGAGACGTATATGAGAACGATCCTTCGCAGTAAAGCACTATTTGAGCAATAGTGAAAATCAGACCTGAAAAAAATTTCAGGCCTGTACGGGATTCGAACCACTGACCTCTGCGATACTAGTGCAGCGCTCTACCAATTGAGCTAACAAGCCAACTGGGAGCAGGCCATCAAATTAATTCGATATAAACCCGTAGATGATAAATCAAACAACAACAAACATATGAAACATATGTGTGAACTGCGGTTATGAGACGTATATGAGAACGATCCTTCGCAGTAAAGCACTATTTGAGCAATAGTGAAAATCAGACCTGAAAAAAATTTCAGGCCTGTACGGGATTCGAACCACTGACCTCTGCGATACTAGTGCAGCGCTCTACCAATTGAGCTAACAAGCCAACTGGGAGCAGGCCATCAAATTAATTCGATATAAACCCGTAGATGATAAATCAAACAACAACAAACATATGAAACATATGTGTGAACTGCGGTTATGAGACGTATATGAGAACGATCCTTCGCAGTAAAGCACTATTTGAGCAATAGTGAAAATCAGACCTGAAAAAAATTTCAGGCCTGTACGGGATTCGAACCACTGACCTCTGCGATACTAGTGCAGCGCTCTACCAATTGAGCTAACAAGCCAACTGGGAGCAGGCCATCAAATTAATTCGATATAAACCCGTAGATGATAAATCAAACAACAACAAACATATGAAACATATGTGTGAACTGCGGTTATGAGACGTATATGAGAACGATCCTTCGCAGTAAAGCACTATTTGAGCAATAGTGAAAATCAGACCTGAAAAAAATTTCAGGCCTGTACGGGATTCGAACCACTGACCTCTGCGATACTAGTGCAGCGCTCTACCAATTGAGCTAACAAGCCAACTGGGAGCAGGCCATCAAATTAATTCGATATAAACCCGTAGATGATAAATCAAACAACAACAAACATATGAAACATATGTGTGAACTGCGGTTATGAGACGTATATGAGAACGATCCTTCGCAGTAAAGCACTATTTGAGCAATAGTGAAAATCAGACCTGAAAAAAATTTCAGGCCTGTACGGGATTCGAACCACTGACCTCTGCGATACTAGTGCAGCGCTCTACCAATTGAGCTAACAAGCCAACTGGGAGCAGGCCATCAAATTAATTCGATATAAACCCGTAGATGATAAATCAAACAACAACAAACATATGAAACATATGTGTGAACTGCGGTTATGAGACGTATATGAGAACGATCCTTCGCAGTAAAGCACTATTTGAGCAATAGTGAAAATCAGACCTGAAAAAAATTTCAGGCCTGTACGGGATTCGAACCACTGACCTCTGCGATACTAGTGCAGCGCTCTACCAATTGAGCTAACAAGCCAACTGGGAGCAGGCCATCAAATTAATTCGATATAAACCCGTAGATGATAAATCAAACAACAACAAACATATGAAACATATGTGTGAACTGCGGTTATGAGACGTATATGAGAACGATCCTTCGCAGTAAAGCACTATTTGAGCAATAGTGAAAATCAGACCTGAAAAAAATTTCAGGCCTGTACGGGATTCGAACCACTGACCTCTGCGATACTAGTGCAGCGCTCTACCAATTGAGGCAATTGAAACAAAGGTAGTTTTACTTTGCTAAAGTTTTTTAGCATTATGATTTTTTTTCCAAAGATGGAAAGCTGCACAAACACGAGTCCAAAGCAATGTGTAATAGGTAAAACACAATTCATAGAAATAACACCCTATCAACCTTCTTCGAAGCCACGGTATAGCACAGTTTTGCTAGTGAAAGCGTTGCATGGCGGCCTGAAGGCATAGCATGACAAAGGGAAAAGATTTGAACTTCCAGCAAAATAAACAGAAAGGTAAACTACCTGGAAGACTAATTTTAAGATGATAAAAGACAAAGAGGACAGCATCTTTCACCCAATAATTCATTTTATTACTATTTTCAACAATGAGACTTTTTAGCCCATATTTACCAAAAAGTGCGTTCAGCAGCTAGTAGCTTAGCCCCTAATGCTTCGAGTTCAACTGTTTTTATTGAACAAAGATGTACCCCATGGCTTTGATCCATTTGTCTCCATTATCTCCACCGTATTTGGCCACGTTGCCACACGAGTTGGTATTGGCTGGATATCCAGCGGTACCAAACCCGATTCGGGAATTACTCGACTTGCAATCATTTTCATTGTTTCCCAGAATTCCAATTCGTGCCTTGGAAGCATTGGCGTTCACACTCGGGACGTTGAAACCCTCCTTTTGGCAGTTGTTTTGCAGGGAAGCACCAGTGATCAACTTCATCCATTCGTCCCGACCCAGTGAGGTTTTGCGATATTTTCCATCTGCAATCAGCACGTACAGCGAGCTTGCCTTTCGGTTCAAAACGAAGAACTTGGTAACCTCACCAACCTTCATACCTAGACAGATCTTGGTGAAGGGTGTGTTCCAGTAGGTTGGTAACTTAGTCCCTCGGTAATCTAAGCCAGTCTCCCCTTCAGGGAGGCCGTATTCTTTCTTGTTCGACCAAAACGGTGAATCGAATTTAAACGTTTGCTACAAGAGAAAATAAAGGAGTCGAGGTTTTCCATAAGAACGGTTGCGCTCTTATCCTCATTCTAATGCAAATGCAGCCTATGTAAATCTATATTGCCTAACTATTTCAACCTTAAATATAATTGTAATTTTCATTGAGGTCTCCTCTGAGACAACCGAACTAAGTAGGAGGTTAACCTTAAGTGCAACATTAACTCTGTGGTTACCTTTGCACCGTTAATCTTCATTACCAATGTCCAACCTCCGCCTCCACAGTCGCCAAGACCTGCACCATCCACGTTGTAATAAACAGGCAACTTCCTGCAGCAGTTCACGTCGACCACATAAGCCTTGTTCTCTTTTGACCTGTAAAAAATTATAGTTCTTTTTCATAGGGGTGTGCACAAAATGCAAGAGTACCCTTGTTTTTTAAGATTTTTTTTAAAGATTTTTTTTTTGGCACATTAGCGTGTAAAAAAWTTT